TTTCGTCAAAAGGCTCTTTAGTTCCTCTTTGCTTTCTGTCCTAAGGGTGGTGTCATCTGCATATCTGAGGTTATTGATATTTTTCCCGGCAGTCTTGATTCCAGCTTGTGCTTCATCCAGTCTAGCATTTTGCATGACATACTCTGCATATAAGTTAAATAAGCAAAGCGACAATATACAGCCTTGTTGTACTCCTTTTCCAGTTTTGAACCAGTCATTTTTTCCATGTCTAGTTCTGCCTGTCACTTCTTGACCCACATACATGTTTCTCAGGAGGCAGGTAAGGTGGTCTGGTATCCCATGTCTTTAAGAATTTTTCATAGTTTATTATGATCCACACAGTCATAGGCTTTGGTGTAGTCAGTAAAGAGGAGGTAGATGTTTTTCTGGAACTCTCTTGCTTTCCCCACGATCCAACAAATGTTGGCAATTTGATATCTGGTTCCTCTGCTTCTTCAAAACCCATCTGTACATTGAGAAGTTCTTGATTCGCACATTTCTGAAATCTAGCTTGAAGGGTTTTGAGCATAAACTTACTAGCATGTGAAATGAATGCAATTTTACGGTAGTTTGAACATTCGTTGGCCTTGCCCTTCTTTGGAATTGGAATGAAAACTGACCTTTTTGAATCCTGTGGCCACTGCTGAGTTTTCCAAATTTGCTGACAGTTTGAGTGCAGAACTTTAACAGCATCATCTTTTAGGATTTGAAATAGCTCAGCTGGAATTCCATCACCTTCACTAGCTTTGTTTGTAGTGATGCTTCCTGAGGCCCACTTCACACTCCAGGATGTCTGGCTCTAGGTGAGTGACCACACCATTTTGTTTTTCTGGGTCATTAAGACCTTTTTTGTACAGTCCTTTTGTGTATTCTTGCCATTTCTTCTTTATCTCTTCTGCTTCTGTTAGATCCTTACTGATTATGTCCTTCAGCATGCCCTGAACATTGCATGAAATGTTCCCTTGATATCTCCAGTTTTCTTGAAGAGATCTCTAGTCTTTCCCATTCTATTATTTTTCTCTATTTCTTTGCCTTGTTCATTTAGGAATTCACCATTGATTTTAGTAAGCTCACTACATTTGCTAAAATCAATAGTGAATTCTTAAATTTCCTCTCATTTGACTTACCAGGGAGCATTAACCAGCCCACCATTCTCTCTTCTAAGCAGCCCTTTCTTCTCACAGTCTCCCCTCCGCCTCTGCTCCTCCCACTCTTTTGTTGGTTCCTCCTCACCTAAGTCCCCCACTCCCAGTCCTTGCACTGCCTCTCTGTCTGCATCCCACTCATGGCAACCTCATCAAATCCAGATGATCCCCAGAGGTGCACACTCGCCCAGACCTCTCCCTTGAACTCTCGACTGCTGCCCGCATGACACTGCTCCCTGCACCAGCTCGACGTTACAGTTCAGCGTGTCCATAGCCAAAGTCTGGATCTTCCTCACAGACCTCCCTGCTAAGTCTTCCCCTCTCCAGTGAAGGAAACACCCGTCCTTCCAGAGACTCGGGTCAGAAACCGGGGAGTCTTCCTCGATAGCTCTTATTTCCTCGCACCCCAACTGCAGTAGCACATGCCAAAACTGGTGATTCAGCCTTGGGAATAGACACAGACTTGAGCTCTCTTCAGCATCTCTGATCGCCACCACGGTGGTTCAGGCCGTCACTGTGTCTCCCGTGAATGACTCCAGAAGCCTCAGCGCTGGCCTCCTGCTTCCAGCCTTGTCCTCAGTTGGTCTCTCTACGCAGGCCAAGGGCTGTTTACCATCCCGCTGACGGTAAAAACCAGAGTCCTTACTGTGATTTACAGGCCAGTCACGTTTTTTTGTTTTAACTATTTGTGGATCTTTTCCTTTTTTTCCTTTCTGCCATCATAGTTTTAATTTCCAAGAGTTCTTTTTTTGTTGTTGTTCTATGAGTGTTCCTTTAAAAAAAAAAGTAAAGGACTTCCTTGGTGGTCCATTGCTTAAGACTTCACCTTCCAATGTAGGGGATGTGGCTTTGATCCCTGGTCTGAGAGCTAAGATTCCACATGCCTTGCAGCCAAAAACCTAAAACATGAAATAGAAGCAATATGGTAACAAATTCAATAGATTAAAATAATAATAATAATAATAACATCCTCAAGGCTCATAACTTTTTGAGGTTAATATAGTGATTAGTTTTTAAGATTTTTGTGCTCATTCTTCTAAGCTTCTTTTTTGTGTGTGCTTTTGTTCACTGTCGCATGTGACAGCCTTCCCTCAAATGTCAAAAGATCCTTTTATTGTCAACCCGTGTTTAAGAGTTAGGCACTAAAACTCAAATTTAGAAGATAGATACATCTATTATATCTGTATACATAAGGATTTGTAAACTGAGGATTTCCCTTTAGGCTTTTGACAGTTTCACTGGGAGACCTCCATCTTTCAGTATCTGAAGTCTTTTTTCCCCTTAGGCTGTTCAGCTTTCCCCAGAGGAGAGAATCTTCCAAACTCCTTCTGGGTTGAGGTAGAGTGGAGTGGAGGCAATGGTTACAGACTTGGCGGCAGGCAGAGGAGGGGGAATGTGGGTCTCATTGTTTCGTATGTAAACTCTCAGTTTAGGACCATCTCTTGAGCTCTGCCTGATGTTGGAGAGTCCAGTGCCACTCAGGTTCATTTTCTCCAGAGATAAGCCCAAGTCTCTGCCCGAGTGAATAATAGGGTGCAGGAGCCTAACCTCTTACAGGCTTGCAAAACAATCCTGTGTTTTCACCCCAGCCCAGCCCTCCGCACTTCCTGATGCTGCCCATGCCCACACCTTTCTCCCGTCTGTGCCGCCGTCCACTTGCCTCTCGCCCCTGACACTCAGCTCTCTCTTTCTCTCACCTGTTGATTCAGTTGCCACCCTCCTGCCTGCTTCTCTTGTCTAAAGTTTGTTGGCATCTCTCGTTTAGCATTGTTGTTTCCATTCCCTTTCTTGGTGGGCTTACACCTTTCTAAAGTATTTGCTGTTGTTTTAGTGAGGTTTTGGGAAAGAAAGGAAATAGATGGATAGAGTCGATGGTAGAAGGAAGTACTTGTGCAAAGGGGTGTGGTTCTTTTCCATTAAAAGTTATGGACAAAGCTGTTCAAAATTTTTTCAAACAAAGAAATCTGTAATACAGGAAACACCAATCTCCTGTAATGCCTCCCTGAGAGAGAACTGCTAGTAACAGTTTATTATTCTGGAGATCTTTTTAGGATTTTAGTATGTATAGTATAATAATTTCTGTATGTACACATGTATACATGCATATGGACATGTTTTTATGTATACATACATTTTATTTTATTTTTTTCCCTTTTTTTACATATATTTTATACATATTTATTTGGTATGTAATATAATCTAACACGGGTATTGGAAATACAAAAATGACTAATAACTTTTTAAAAAAAAGTTACACATGTCATATTTTACCTGCCATGAGGTGGTGGTGGTGTTTGTTCAGTTGCTGAGTCGTGTCCAACTCTTTGAGACCCCATGGACTGCAGTATGCCAGGCCAGGTTTCCCTGTCCTTCAGCATCTCCCAAGTTTGCGCCAGCTCTTGTCCATTGAGTTGCTGTTGCCATCCAACCATCTCTTCCTTTGTTGCCTCCTTCTCCTCCTAGCCTGAAGCTTTGTTTTTTCATCCAGCAGGTTTTCTGGAGTACCTTCCATTTCAGTATCTTTAGTTCTATTCACAAAAAAATGACTATGCATCATTGATTAAATTTGACATTGATTAGAATTTAAGCTGTTCTCTTTTGATGGGTATTTGTGGTGATTTTCTCTTATTTATTATTATGAAAATAGGTGAATTTCTTTATTTTCTTTTTTTTTTCTTTCTTTTTCAAATTCGTTTCCCATTTGCGTTATTGCAGAATATTGAGCAGAGTTCCCTGTGCTGTATAGTAGGTCATTGCTGATTATCTGTTTTAAACATAGCAGTGTGTACGTGTCCACCCCAAACTCCCAGTCTATCCCTCCACCCACTCCCTCCCTCCTGGTGACCCAGAGTTCGTTCTCTAAGTTTGTGAGTCTCATTTCTGTTTTATAGATAAATTCATTTGTATCATTTTTCAAAAGATTTTGCATATAAGTGATATCATAGGATATTTGTCTTTCTCTGTCTCTTTACTTAGTATGATAATCTCCAGGTCCATCCATGTTGCTGCAAATGGCATTATATCACTTTTTATGGGCAAATAGTATTCCATTGTATGTATCTACCACATCTTCTTTATCAGTTTATCTGTTGATGGACATTTAGGTTGCTTCCATGTTCTGACTATTGTTAATAGTGCTGCAGCGAACATTGGGAGTTTAATATCTCTATGTATATTTTTGTCAGCCAGTTTTTTAAAACCTGTAACTGAGTGAGGTAACCTGCAGAACCAGGAAAAATGTGGAGTGACTGACAGGTCAGAGTTCCCGAGCAATCAGTCTTCTTGACCATGCTTGTTAACATCAGTACACTCTCACTGCCCTGCTGTTTTCTTTCTTAGTAGGTTTTTCCCTTCTTATTTTATCTTGCTTCTGTTTTGCTCTTGTTATAAATCCCCTGGCAAGATTTCAATTAAACTAATACACTCTGTTCTCTTAAATCCTAGGAATGCCATTAGGCATTTGCTTATAATTTTTAACCTCCTGGCTATGTTAATGAGAAGTGGACTTGCTATCTTTTATTAATCAAATATTTTTTAGTCCTGTGAATGAAAAAATTGAGAATGTTAATTCTCAACTCACAGTGTTTGAAAAGTCAGATTTTTTACTTTCACATCTTTAATTGATAAGATCTAGAGTATAAAATTTTTTAGCCTTATTTCTAGTTTAAGTAGATCTAAGATTTTGACCTGAAAAAGTTAAATATGTATATTTTTAATCTATATTTTGATGTTATCAAATAATGAGCCACAGTTTTCTATGAGAAAACAATGACTATAAGAAACGGTAATTTGGAGATAGATACCATCTCCAGCATCATCATGTGTCTCTCTGATTTTTTATTTTTCCTGCTGTAGACTTTACTATGAACAAAGAATTCTGCGAAAGGTCTTTGAAGAATGGAAAGAAGAGTGGTGGGTTTCCCATCGAGAGTGGAAACTCCGTGTTCGAGCTGACTGTCACTACAGGTCAGATTTCATGTTATATTACTTTAATTTTACTGGTGAGGTGAAGTGAAAGTCTCTCAGTCGTGTCCAGCTCTTTGCGATCCCATGGACTATACAGTCCATGGAATTCTCCAGGCCAGAGTACTAGAGTGGGTTTGCCTTTCCCTTCTCCAGGGGATCTTCCCAACCCAGGGATTGAACCCAGGTCTCCAGCATTGCAGGTGGATTCTTTACCAGCTGAGCCACCAGGGAATTTTACTGGTACACATTATCAAATAATTACTTGTCGGCATGATCCTAGATCAAAAGAAGATAAGTCTTTTTTTTCTAGTTTTATTGAGATATAATTGACATATATTAATTACTGCATGAGTTTTAGGTATACAGAATAGAGATTTGACTTACATATTGTGAAATGATTACCACAAAAAATTTAGTTAACATTCATCATCTCATATAACTGCAATAAAAAAAAAATGGGGAAAAATATTTTCTCCTTGTAATGAGAACTTTCAGGATTTATTCTCTTAACAATTATCATATATTCTCTTAACAACTGTCATATATATCATACAGCAGTGGTAACTGTAGTCATCATATTGTACCTTGTATCCCCAGAACTTATTTGTGTTATAACTGGAAGTTTGTACCTTTTGACCACTCCCCTAACCCCCATGTCTCTGGTAAACCACAAATCTGATCTTTTTCTCAGTTTTTTTTTTTTTAAAGAATGCACATGTGAGATCATACAATGTTTATCTTTCTGTGACATATTTCTCTTAGCTTAATGCCTTCAAATTCCATCCATGTTGTCAAAAATGATAGGATTTCCTCTTTTATATATATATAGTTTATATATATAGTATATACATATAAGTTTATATGGTATATATATATAGTATATATATGTATATAAGTTTATATATAGTTTTTGTGGAATTTCCTCATTTTTAAATGGCTGAATATATTCTACTTTATGTATTTGGGTTAGCCAAAAAGTTCGTTCTGTTTTTTCCGTAATGAGCTTTTTGACCAACCTAATAGATCTTTATCCATTCATCCATCAGTGGACTCTTAGTTTGTTGCCCTGTCTTGGCTTTTGTAATTAATGCTGCTATGAACATGGTGGTGCAGATATATTTTCAAGTTAGTGTTTTTGTTTCCTTTGGATATATTCTCAGAAGTGGGATTGCTGGATTGTCTGGTAGTTCTATTTTTAATTTTTTGAAGATCCTGCATACTGTTTCCTTAGTGGTTATTACCAATTTACAAGTCGTACCAACAAACTACAAGGTTCCCTTTTTTCTATATCCTCATCAGTATTTATCTTTTTTTTTAATCTCTTATTTTAGGGAGACCTAATTTCCTACTTTTCTTTTTTTTTAATTGAGGTAAAATTGGTTTATAGCATTATATCAGTTTCAGATGCACAACATTATAATTTTATCTTGTCCTTTTGGTGATGGCCTAGAGGTGTGAGATGATATCTCATTGTGATTTTGATTTGTATTTTCCTGATGGCTAGTTCTCTTTAAGTATGTTTTCATGTACCTATTGGCTGTTTGTGTATCTACTTTGGGAAAATGTCTGTTTAGGTCATTTGCCCACTTTTATTTATTTTTGTTGAGAATAAGTATATTAAACACATGCAAGGCATTAATGCTCATTTAGAAAAAGAATGATTAAAGGAAGTTGTATAGTTTTTAGATTGGATAAAGATGAAAACATTGGGTATTCTGGAACAGTATTTACTTGAACTTAATATATATTTTCATTTTTCCTATCATAGGGCTTTTGAGCACCCCAAAAGCTTAATTATCTATATAAAAAAAGTAACCTCACTTTTCAGTCTTTTGTCTTCTTTACCTTTGCCGACTTTTAAAATGGATTATTTGATTTTTTGCTATTTAGTTGTGTGAGTTCTTTATGTATTTGGATATTAATCTCTTATCAGATATATGGGTTGCAAATATTTTTTCACATTTTGTAGGTTGTCTTTTTCACCTTATTGACTGTATTTTGCTATGCATAAGCCTTTTGGTTTACTGTAGTCCTACTTTTTTGTTTTTTATGTTGTTGCTTATGCTTTAGGTATCATATCCAAAGAATTATTGCTAAGACCTATATGAAGGAGCTTTTTTCTTATGTTATGTTTTCTCTTGGGAATCCCATGGTCTTGCATTTTAAGTCTTTAATCCATTTCTATTTAATTTTTGTGAGTGGTGTTAGATAGGGGTCTAGTTGCATTTTTACATGTGAATATCCAAGTTTTACCAGCACCATTTACTGGAGAGACTGTTTTCCCCCATTGATTCTTGGCTCTGTTGTCAAATAAGTTGATTGATTCTTGGCTCTGTTGACTATATATATTTGGTTTGATCTGGGGGCCCTGGATTCTGCTCCATTGGTCTCTGTGTTTTTATGCCATGGCATTGTATGCGCTGTGCTTAGTTGATCAGTCGTGTCTGACTCTGCAACCTCATAGACTGTACCCCGCCAGGGTCCTCTGTCCATGGGGATTCTCCAGGCAAGAATTCTGGAGTGGGTTGCCATGCCCTCATCCAGGGGATCTTCCCAACCCAGGGATTGAACCCATATCTCCTGCATTGCAGGTGGATTCTGTACTGTCTGAGCCACCAGGAAAGCCTATGAGATTGTATACTACCACTTCATAGTGTAGCTTGAAAACAGGAAGTGTGATGTCTCCTGCTTTGTTCTTTCTGAGGATAGCTTTGACTATTTGAGGTCTTTTGTAGTTCCACATAACTTTTAGGATTGTTCTTTCTACTTCTGTAAATACGAGATTGGAATCTTGGTCGGGGTTGCATTGAATCTACAGATGACTTTTGGCAGTATTGACATTTTAACAATATTTTCCCAGTTCATGAACATGGGACCACATTTCTGTTTATCTGTATCTTCTTTGATTTCTTTCATTAGTGTCTTGTAGCCTTCAGAGTAGAGACCTTTCACTTCCTCAGTTAAATTTATTCTTAAATCTTTTGTTATTTTTGATGCTATTGTAAATGGGATTGATTTACTTCTTTCTTTTTCAGATAATTTGTTGTTACTGTAGAGAAGTGCTACTTATATTTTACATTAATTTTATATCCTATGACTTTACTGAGTCCATTGATTAGATCTAAAAGTTTCTTGGTTGAGTCTTTAGGAGTTCCCATATATAAAATCATGGCGTCTGCAGATAGAGACAGTTTTACTTCTTCCTTTCCAATCTGATGCGTTTTATTTCTTTTTCTTGCCCAGTTGCTCTGGCTGGGACTTCCAGTACTGTGTTGAGTAGGAGTGGTGAGAGTGGGCACGCTTGTCTTGATCCTGATCTCAGAGGAAAAGCTTTCAGCCTTTCTCCATTGAGTATGGTGCTAGCTGTGGGCTCATGATATGTGGCATTTATTATATTGAGACACTGATGATCTTATGGTTTTCTTTTTTCATTCTATTAATGTGGTGTGTCATATCGATTGAGTTTGTGGTTGTTGGACCATCCTTGTAAGGAGAAGAGTTTTGTATTATTTTCTGTTTTTCTTCAAATTCTTTTTAGAGTAAGCAAGATCAGAGTCCTAAATTAAACCCAAGCACACAATACTGTATGCATGTGAACTTATACACACAGAAATAACCCTCTAATTCAGGTAACCATTATGTCCTGATCATGCTAATAATTAGAATAGATTTTTCCTCACCGATTCCCACTGCTGTATAATTCTAATTCTGTTTTCTAAACCAGTAGAGTTGCTTTAATTTATATTGCTTGGAAGGAAATATATACCCAATATAGAACCTTAAGAAAACAGAAAAGAGGGCCTTCCCTGGCAGTCCAGTGGTTAAGATTCCACATTCCCAATTGCAGGGGTCATGAGTTTGGTCCCTGGTCAGGGAACTAACATCCTGCATGCTGCACAACACAGCCAAATAAAATAAAGTTTAAATTAAAAAAGAAAATGGAAAATAAAGAAAAAAAACTTTAAAAAATTATTTATTTTTTAGTGATAGAAGAAACTCTTAATCCATGACATTTGTATTCCCAGGGATAAGTGAAAAAAGTAAAAAAATTCTATCACATACATATTGGGAATTCTATCACATACATATTTTCTATACCTTTTTTAAAAGTAAAAACTTAATATGTCTGACACATTGTATCTTTTCCAAATGTTGTTCACTCGTAATCACGGTTTTAGGCTCTTTAAGGTAGGGTTTCTGATTTATGGATATTTCAGATAAAGTATAGACAATGTTTTTGTTAGGGGCTTCACTGATGGCTCAGTTGATGAAAAATCTGCCTGCATTGTAGGAGACCCTGGTTCGATTTCTGGGTCGGGAGGATCTGCTGGAGAAGGGAGAGGCTACCCACCCCAGTATTCTTGGGCTTCCCTTGTGGCTCAGCTGCTAAAGAATCTGCCTGCAATGCGGAAGAGCTGGGTTTGATCCCTGGGTGGGGCAGATCCCCTGGAGAACAGAAAGGCTATCCACTCCAGTATTCTGGCCTGGAGAATTCCATGAACTATATATATAGTCCATGGGGTTGCAAAGAGTCAGACACGACTGAGTGATTTTCACTTTCACATAGATAATGTTGACTCGTTCTAATAAGCTGGCAGAGTATGAAATCAGGTCTTAGGAAATGGGACAGTGAAGAGATGGAGGGACTGACAGTCTTGTGGATAATGTATGTATTGAGAAGGAAAAGACAAAGGAGGACACTGACCATGTTTTAGTGCAGAGGAGAGGTGGTGTGTTCCATGGCGTGGGTGCTTAAGAAATGACTGTCATTCCAAATGCTACAGCCCTCTGGGTGCTGAAGATGAAGTCACTCTCAGGTAACTCATGCCTTTTTTCCCTTAGTGATAACGTAAGTTGTGGAGAACAACTCTTCCGTCGAGAAGGACAAACCTCACCGTGATTGTAGGAAATGGAACTTTAGCTTAGGAGATGTTGTGGTTGGTCATTCTTTATGACCCCATGGACTGTAGCCCTCCAGGCTCCTGTGTCCAAGGCATCTTACAGGCAAGAATGCTGGAATGGGTTGACATTTCCTTCTCCAGGGGATCGCCCCAACCCAGGGACCGAACCCACGTCTCCTGCTTGGCAGGCAGGGTCTTTACCGCTGAGCCACCGGGGGGGCCCAGCTTAGGATATGGATTGGCTTTTCTGTGTCAGAAGTGTTCTGTTAATTTTTCCTGTGTGCAGAACGGGCTGGGTATGTCAGATTAAGAGTTGTTTTGTTTTAAAGAAACACTGCTTGCTTTTGTGGCTCCTCAGATATTACTTGTACAGCCTGATGTTCCAGACCTGGAAGACCTACGTGTATCAGCAACGGGAGATGAGGAGCAAGTACCTGAGAGCTGAGAATCATGGTGAGAAGAGGAAGTACATGCTAAAGAAAATGCCTCCATTTACTTGTTTTTGCTTTTTTTCCCCTTTATTAAGACTTTATTGGGAGTTCCTGGTGGTCTCATGGTTAGGATTTGACATTTTCACTGCCATGGTCTGGGTTCAGCCCCTTGGTCGGGAAACGAGATGTTGAATAGGAGTGGTGAGAGGAGGCCTCCCTGCTGTATGCTTGGCTGGTGGAAAAGTTTTCGAGCTCCTCACCGTGAAGTATGGTGCAGGCTTCTTGTAGACATTCGTTATCAAGTGAGTAAGATCCTTGCCTTTTCTTAGTTTACGGAGAGCCCAGGTTTACTTTTAGAGAAGCTTCTGTGAAGGACAAGTACATTGTCTTTGAGAGAGAATAAATCTGAGTCAAAGGGGAGAGTTGTTTGACTCCCCTTCCTATATTCCAGGATGTGTGATTTCTCAGCAGGAGCTCCTGTGATCACATCCCCATGGTTTTTCTCCATGAGGCATGGTTTGGGCACCTGCCACGCACGTCAGCGTGATTTGCGTGAACTGGCTGTTCGTGCCCTGCTGGTGCAGCGTGCTGGCCGCGTTTCTCCTACAGCACCTGGGGCTGTTGTCTGTCTTGCCACCATGTGTCACATTACACCACTTGCTTCTCATCTTCTTGGTCCAGGTTGGCCCTTGGTGATCTTGTGACAGTTCAACTCTGGTTGCTATCTGGTTCCTCTGTGAGTTGAACTCAGAAACCCGTATGGGTGAGTCTAAGGGAAAAAGGCATATTGAATGATAATGTAACCTCCTGCTATTTCTCATAGTCTTGAAGGCCCTGTAGGCCCCTCAAACTCAGCGGGTCCCTTGGGTACCTTGTCCACTGCACCCTGTATAGACCTTACCATAGCTAAGAGAGAATGGTAAGCCATTCACTTAGGAGTGGCTTCCCCATGCCTACAGCATTCAGATATCTTGTCTTACAGCACAGCTCCCTGAGCTGTCACTTGCATTCTTCTTTGTCAGTGCTGCTGCTGCTAAGTCGCTTCAGTCATGTCTGACTGTGCGACTCCATAGACGGCAGCCCACCAGGCTCCGCTGTCCCTGGGATTCTCCAGGCACGAACACTGGAGGGGGTTGCCATTTCTTTCTCCAGAGCATGAAAGTGAAAAGTGCAAGTGAAGTCTCAGTTGTGTCTGACTCTTTCTAAGATTCTATAAATGCATATTAAATTTGGAGCCAAAAACTTAGCAGCTTAAAAGGCAGTTCCACATAAGGCTGGAAGGGGGCAGTCTCAGAATTCATGGTTCATATTAAGATCAATTTAAATTTCGCCTAGTCTTTTTGAAACAGCATCACTAAAAAAAAAAAGCATTCACTTTCAATATCTGGGCACAACTGCCTGACAGTAAATGTTATAAGGCCCTCTTCTTTCATCTCTTTTCATTTATTTTCTTCTTTTTATAGATAATCTCATTTACTCTTTGCAAATGTACCTTTAGGGAGGCACCATTTTGCAGGTGAGAAACTTGTGTGGGGTTACTTGGCTAAGGGACAAGGACAGTACTCAGGCCCAGCTTGTCTTACTCGGCAGCCTACACTCTAACACCACAGCACCGTGCTAGCCCTTCTTGCTTGAGATGTGCTGATTCTGGAGGTCTGGGGTGGGCCCACGGAAAACTGAAGTGAAAGTCGCTTAGTCATGTCCACCTCTTTGCGACACCATGGACTGTAGTCCACCAGACTCCCCGTCCATGGAATTCTCCAGGCAGGAATACTGGAGTGGTTTGCCATTCCCGTCTCCAGAGGATCTTCCCGACCCAGGGATCAAACTTGGGTCTTCTGCTTTGCAGGCAGATTCTTTATCTTCTGAGCCACCAGGAAAGCCCAAGGAAGCTACATATTAAGTTCTTTTTCATCTTTTGATGTGATCTGTCAACAACTATGAAATACAAAGTAAAGCTCTAGTCCTCCTGTCCACATTTTAGAGAATGTCCTGAAAATGCTTTACATATTTTTATTTTCTCCTTTGTGTTCTAAAAAAACAAAAAACTTCACCAGTAATGACTCTACCAGTGAAAATGGAGCTTACTATAAAGGGAGGCCTGTGGAACTTTGCACCTCCTGTATGTAGTAAATTCTCTTTCCTCTGGCCCTTTTTATTTTGTCTCACAAATAAATACAGATAGTATCCTTTCCATTTTATCTTGCTTATTCTACTTTATAAATATTGTTTCAAACAGCAAATTTTATAACATGACTTCTTTTTTAACCTTATATTGCTAAGTCGCTTCAGTTGTGTCCGACTCTTTGCGACCCCATGGACTGTAGCCCACCAGGCTCCTCTATCCATGGGGATACTCTAGGCAAGAATACTGGAGTGGGATGCCATTTCCTACTCCATTAACCTTATATTAATGGAAATTTAAAAACTCTCCAAAATGGAAAGATAGAATAATTAACTTCTGTGTACCCATCACCCAGCTTCCAATTATTATGAACTCACTAGTCTTGTTACATCCATATCCCCATTCATTTCCCTGCTTCCTTTGTTATTTCACATATAGATATTGCAGAGTATATAACTCTACAAAAAATAAGGACTTTTAGAGATATCTGAACAGTGCAGTGCATTGGTTTTCCTTTAAATGTTCTGTAAATGTCATCACTTATGTAACTGTTCTTTGCATCTTGCATCTTTATTAACTTTGTAGAGCTTCACAACTTTTCCAGCAGGGGGCACTGGAAGACTGCAGGAATTTAGATACTCAGAGGAGGGACCTTCTGAGAGCCTCTGAGCTTTTTTGTCTCAATCCAGAGTAATCCATCTCTCTTAACCCTTTCTTGGAAATCTTTTTGGTGCATCTAGATGCAAAGCAAAAGATGCGACAGGCCTGGAAGTCCTGGTTGATCTACGTGGTTTTCCGTAGGACCAAACTTGAGATGCAGACCACTGCCCTGGAGTTCAGGCGGCAGAGAATTCTGTGGTGAGTGTGCTGCATGGCCTACAGGTCAGCAGTGTTCGTTTTTACCTCATCCTTGATTTATAATGCTAGGAAGCCAGCATAAAAACCCACCTTAAAACATTTGAGTATAATTGATACATAATAAATATTTATTGGTATCTTGTTCAACATTAAGATCAGGTTTTCACAAAATCATAAGTAACACTAATTGAGTATTTACTGTTAAGCCTTGTGTTAAGTTTCTGTGTATGTTAATTTTTTAATGTAAAGTGTTCCATTTACTCCTTACCATAAACTATAAGATAAATGCTATTATTCCACAGATTAAGATACGTGAGCTCAAACAAGTTACTCAACCTTTCTACTGTGTGTGAGTTGTAATTAACAAAACTAGGGCACACCCACCCATCTTTCTGATGTCACAGCTCACACTTTTACCTGCTGCCCTGCACTGCATCTCAGCGTCTCCTCCATTGGAGAGACCGCCTGAGTCAGTCCACTTTGAAGCCGGAAGTGTGTGGCAGTGAGCTGCTTTATAATGGTACTGATGCCTCTGCATTGTTCCCAGCGCTTCTCTGGTGTCCCGAACAGCAGTGCGCTGAAAGCTCAGTTCCTGGTCAGGAGAGCGGGGCCCTGTGTATAGTGTGGGTAAGAGCAGAAGCCTTGCAGCTAGACTGACTTGGGTTCAAACCCCTGTTCTCACAAATACTGGGTCATTTCACTTCTCCAGGCCTCATTTTCCTCACACTGTGAGGTGTCTTTTTCAGGTGGTCATGGGAAATACATAAGGTAATACTTGTGAAGTATTTAGCCTAGTGTCCAGACCATCAGTGGACATAAAGAAGTTATTTAAAATGTTTGTTATTTAAAATTTATTCAGCAAATATTTGTAAATGCTTAGTAAGTATGTAGTTTCACTAGAGTCTATGGTGGATCTTTCTACATAATTTTATTTATTCATTGTCTGTTAAGGGCTTAAAATGTTTCTGGTTCTAGCTTGAGTCCTGAGGTTACATTCAGGGAACTTATAATTTCTCTAAGTGCTTACAAAGATAAGTAATAATGCCAGATAGGTTGAGATTTTGAAGAGATACAGCTAAGCATGGCTTAAGTTAGGAGGAGGGAGATATTGGTGAGTTAGAGTGACCAGGGTAGGACGGTGTAAAACAGAAGTCGCAAACGCTCATTTCCACGTTACTGCTTTTCTACAGCAAATCAGAAAATAAGTAGGAAGGAACCCAAAGCTAGAATGAAACCTGGCAAGGACAGGAGGAAGGGAAGGGATCCATCAAGACTGGAAATCTAAAAGCCATTATTGGGTGACTTCCATGGGGGTCCAGTGGTTAAAACTCTGCTCTTCCACCGCTTAGGGGCATGGGTTCAATCCCTGGTCAGGGAACCAGGATCCCACATGCTGTGTGGAGTGGCTATAAATAAATACTAGTAGTTTTGTAGTTTATTCTGTGGAATCTCCTGAAGTATTTGGCAGTGATTTTTTTTTTTTTAACCCACATTGGCCAAACAGAGCATATCTAAATTGTCTAAGGCTGGGTCTGACCTTCTGTGCTAAGTCACCTTGGTTGTGTCTGACTCTGTGTGACCCCACAGACTGTAGCCCACCGGGCTTCTCTGTCCATGGGATTCTCCAGGCAAGAATACTGGAGTGGTTGCCGTGCCCTCCCCCAGGGGATCTGACCTTAGGGACCATCTGTTTCCAACCCTTAGCTGGCAGCTGTGGAACCATTCCTTGATTGTTTCTGGCAGCAGATCTAATGGTGTCAGGCCTAGGGAGAGGGACCTGAGCCGGGGGTCTGAAGCCCAGCCCTCACTGCCCTGCTCTTCCGGCTGACCGTGCTCTGACTGGTCCTGTCTTTGATTTGCTCTCCGGCAGGGTGTGGTGGAGTGCGTGGAGACGGCAACTGGACCAGGTCCACCTAGGCCAGGCCCTCCAGGCCACAGCCGTGAAGCAGCGGGCCCGGAGCCTCCAGCTGCAGGTGAGTCCACAGACTCAGGCTGCAGGGTCCTCTGTGCACGTGTCAGGCCCCCACCACGGAGGGCACGCCCGTCTGAGCTTCATGCTGCTGGCCCTTCATGTAGCTCCAGGGGCGGGAGTGACGGGGAGGCACAAGCTGCGTGGAAGGCTGGACTCTTCAGCAGAGAGGCTGCTGGAAGGAATGCACTAGATGTGTTTTTTTTGTTGTTGCTTTGTTTTTGGCTGCCCTGGGTCTTCCTTGCTTTGTGCGGGCTCTCCTTGTGGTGAGCGAGGGCATCTCCCTAGTTTCTGTGCGGCAGCTTCTGTTGTTGCAGAGCACAGCTCTAGAGTGTACGGGCTTCAGTAGTTGGGGTGCACAGGCTTAGTTGCCCCGCAGCATGTGGGGTCTTCCCGGACCAGGGACTGAACCCTGCATTGGCAGGCAGATTCTTAACCACTGGACCACCAGGGATGTCCTGCTCGATGTGATTGCCAGTGGTTTTTAGAGAGCTCTTGCTAATCGTGAAGCTGGAATGGGATTTATGAATTTAATTATAAAGATTCTTAAAGAAACAGCAATGTATTCTTTATTTCCTCATGACTCTTTTCCCATAGCAAATTAGAAAACAGCAAGAGCAAAAACAAAGACCGAAAAGAAAGCCTGGCCTTTCTCATATAATCTTGCTTATTTCTTTGAGTTCTTTTTTGGGAACACCCCTGACTTTTGGTCAGTTGCAAAGGACTAACATCTCTACCAAATGTATGGTCTTTGATAGACTTTCTGAATTTCTGTCACTTTTTAGTGTCTCTTGGGTACTTATAGGGCTACCAAGTCAGTTACAGAGAACAGGAAAGAAGAGAAAAAGAAGTGCCCATTGCTATATGTAGGAGTTATAACTTTAAAAAAAATATTTTACTTATTTGTGCCGAGTCTTTAGTTGTGGCGTGTGGGATCTACTTCCCTGACCAGGGATCAAACCCAGGCCCCTTGCATCGGGAAGCGTGGAGGCTTGGCTGCTGGACCACCAGGGAAATCCCCGGTAACTTTTTTTTAAATTATTTTTTATTTTTGGCTGCGCTGGGTCTTCGTTGCTGCATGTGGGCTTGAGTTGCGGCGAGTGGGGGCCCTCTTGTAGCGTGGTGGCTTCTCTTGCTGTGCATACAGCTCTGGAGTGTGTGGGCTTCAGTGTTTGTGGTGCACAGCCTTAGTTTCCCCACGGCGTGTGGAATCAAGCCTGTGTCCCCGGCAGTTACCACTGGACCAGCAGGGAAGCACGTCCCGCCCCAGTGACTTTTCATTAGACAGCATTTGCATCATCTTTGCAGGTATATGCAATATATGGAGACTGTGTGCAAACCACGTGGATCAGGGTCAGCACACTTGGCCACAAGTCAGGTGTGGCCAGCTGCCTGTTATAAAATTTTACTGGGATGCAGTTACACCTGTTCATTTATGCTGTCAGGCTACAACGGCAGAGTTGAGTAGTTTCAACAGAGACCACATGGTCTGCAGAGCCTAAAGCAGTTATTATCTCACCGTTTAAGAAAAAAATTTGTTGACCTGTGAATTCACAAGGTCTTCTGAAGCAATAGGAAGGAAGTAGACTTAGTTGTTGCCAGTGATAATGTGGTAACAAGAACAGTAGGAGCAGTAATGGTGTTTTTGTGGTTTTACCGTCCTAGACGCTGGACTAAGGCCCTTACATGTGTTATCGCAATTTTCAAAATAATTATTTTTTAATTAATTAATTATTTATTTATTTTTTAGAATCCTATTCCAACTCCCTGCTCCAAAAATCCATTTAATATATTGTCCTCGGATAGAGGATGTATCAGATATTAAACTGATAAGAACAGATACTACACTTGATCTTAGCCAAAAGGCCGAGAAGCGATCAAAATTATTTTTAAAAGCCCATAGTATTATTACTTTGCCAACAAAGGTCCATCTAGTCAAAGCTATGGTTTTTACAGTAGTCATGTATGCATGAGAGAATTGGACTATAAGAAAGCTGAGTGCCGAAGAATTGATGCTTTTGAACTGTGGTGTTGTAGAAGACTCTTGAGAGTCCCTTGGACTGCAAGGAGATCCAACCAGTCCTAAAGGAAATCAGTCCTGAATATTCATTCGAAGAACTGATGCTGAAGCTCCAATACTTCGCCACCTGATGCGATGAACTGACTCCTTTGAAAAGACCTTGATGCTGGGAAAGGTTGAAGGCAGGAGGAGAAGGGGACAACAGAGGATGAGATATGGTTGGATGGCATCACCGACTTGATGGACATCAGTCTGAGCAAGCTCCAGGAGTTGTTGATGGACGGGAGGCCTGTAGTGCTGCAGTCCATGGGGTCGCAAAGAGTGGGACACGACTGAGCGACTGATCTGAACTGATTATTATAGGTTAAATAACTCTGATAGCTGGCCCTGACCTTTGTCGTGCACCTGGCAAAGGTCAGGGGCAGTATTTGAACCCAAGCAGCCTGAAAAGGGCAGTCGTTCCTTGACCATCATGCTGCCTTGTCCTTGTAGACTAGTGCTCTCAGGAGGGAGAGGGAAGTAGGTGAAAAAGCTGAAGCACAGGAACGGAGTGAGGCTGGTTTTCTGTCACTGCGGGACTCAGGCTGTCTCAGTGCTCGTCCCTCTCAGCCAGTCACTTTGAGAGCCTGTAAACTCGTTCTGCTGGTGTCACCATTGCTCAGCACACATTTAGAATTCCTTTTTGACTTTTGCCCTTGGAGCTTGCAACATCGGCTTTGAATGACTGTCTTCAGTGATAGGTTTTCATGATTTGAGGTTGGATTTAACTTATAAGACAGCCAAAAGTCATCCAGAATCAAATCCAGTGAAAAACATGAGCAATAAGAAAACACTGATATGGACCAAAAGTTTTGTGAGACTCTTAAGACAAATTTTATGTTGCAGATTATAAATAAAATCCTTGTGTCTGGTAAGTACCGTATGATTTACCAAGAACCTTAAGTCGTTCCTCTCAATCCTCACATCTCTGAACTAGGCAGGACAGACATCATGAGATATGTGAAATTATAAAAAATGAAGTTTAAGCATAAAAACATGACATATAAAACACTTGTTAAAAATATTAACAGGAGTCTTCCCTGGCAGTCTCATGGTTGAGATTTCACTTTTCAGTGCAGGTCCAATCCCTGGTCCAGGAGCTGAGATCCCTCAGGCCTCACAGCCAACAATCCAAAACATAAAACTGAAGCAATATTATAACAAGTTCAATGAAGATTTTAAAAATTGGCCAACAACAGAAAGAAATTAACAGATATCCACATCTCCAACATACAGATTTAAAAGATGTTAACATTTTTCCATCCTTGCCTCAAAATTTGATGTAATTTAATGTAATTAAATTCACATTTCAAGCCCTCCCCATCCTTCCTTCTGTCACCTTTCCTTCTTAGAGATAACTCCACCATGATGTTGAAATCCTTATTCTCTTATATTCTTTTTCACTTGTAGACGTGTATGTATACAGGTATATAAAGAATATATGTTCTGGCTTTGTGTAGTGAGGAAACTTATGAATGGCATCATACTTTACATTTACTTTGCAGTTCACTGCTTTTTGTTTTTAATGCAACAGTGTATTTTTGAGGTTTATTCATTTTGATACACAGAGATCTATTAGCTGCATACATTCAGCCATTTTACTAAGACTCAGTTTATCTGCTCACTGCTGCTAAACTGTTATTTCTTCCTGGTTACTTTCTTTTTTCTTTTTACAATTACAAAGTGTCACAGAGAGCATTCTTTTTTGAATTAGTTTACTTTTGGTTGAGCTGGGTCTTTGTTGTTGCTCACAGGCTTCTCTAGTTGTGAGCAGGGGCTGCTCTCTCTTGAGAGTTTCCATGCATGGACTTATCGCTGTGGTTTTTCTTGTTGTGGACCAGACTCCAGGGTGGGTGGGCTTCAGTAATTGCAGCATGTGGGCTCAGCATTTGTAGCTTGCGGGTTTAGTTGTTATGTGGCATGTGGGATCTTCCTGGACCAAGGATCAAACCCATATCTCCTGCATTAGCAGGCGGATTCTTTACCATTGAGCCAGCAGGGAGGCCCCCTTGGAGAGCATTCTTAAACACACATCCCTGTGTGAGAGTCTGAGAGGTTCTCATCCCTGGAAGTGAAGCTGTTGGGTCTTTGGGTATCATCTCGTCATCCTTATCCAACGTCACCCATTTGCTCTCCACTGCTGTGCCAGTTAACATGCTAAAATTGTTGTTCGGGTTTCTTTCAGATTCATCAGCACTTTGCATTGCCAGACTTGGTCATTTTCACCAATGTGATATGTGTGAGGTGGTTCTTCTTTGTTGCTTTAATTTACATTTCCCTGATTTCCTAGCGAAGCCCAGTATCTTTTCTGATGCCTGATTGTCATTGGGTTTCTGGTTTTGAGCATGTTACATCCCTCGCCCCTTTTTTTCTGTTGGGTTATTTAGCTTTTTCTGCTCCATACACATTGTCATAGATTTTGCTTATTAATCTTTGGACTATTAGGTACACTATTAGGTATTTTCCTCTAGTCTATAGCTTGTTTATTTATTTTTTTGCTTTGTTTATGGTGCCTTTTTTTTCATACAAGTGTTTTTTTGTTTAATTATTTATTTTCTTTACTGTGATGAGTGTTGGTTGCTGCGTGGGCTTTTCTCTAGTTGTGGTGAGCAGGGGCTGTGGTCCAGTTACGGTGCGAGGGCTTTTCACTGCTGTGGCTTTTGCGGTTATAGAGCACGGGCTCTCGGGTGCACGGGCTTCAGCGGCTGTGGCTCCCGGGCTCTAGGGCACAGGCTCAGTGGTCGTGGTGCATGGGCTTAGTTGCTCCGTGGCACGGGGATCCTCCTGGATCTGGGATCAGACCCAGGTCTCCTGCACTGGCAGCTGGACTCTTTACCACGGAGCCACTGGGGAAGACCCCCACACAAGTGCTGTTAATTTCATTGTCACCTAACTTGCATTTTTATAAGTTGTGTGAAACAGGGTCTTAGTTTGTCATTTTCCTT